TCCCAAAAGAGATTTTACGAAAAATTAAAAAAACAAAAAACAACAACAAATACACACACATATAATAATGGCTGTCCACTCATTTCTGAGTAAGCCTTGTCTGCTAAGGTAGGTAGACATCCCTGTTGCAGATGCCTGCTCAGGTACATTTGTGCTTGTTTAACACCAACAGGGTCTATCTGTGGTTGATACTGCAACTATTCTGAGCAGGCTCAAGTTACAGTTTCTGGGAGAGATCACCTCATCTGACAGGATCAACAGTTTGAACAATGCCAGTACACTCAAACCCTCGATCCCGATGACTTGAGACTTTGTGCTAACAAAATCATCGACAAATAGTTCTGTCTACTCAACTTCACTAACAAGGCTTGTGTGAACCCATGGCATGGTTTTCAGGCTCTTTCCAGAAGTGTTTCATGTTTGGGATTGCCTGTCCAGGCTGTTAACATCAAGAACTCAGCTTTTGGACAAATCGACCATGGTGAGATTCAAGTCTGTGTCTTATAGTTGGAAAGCAAATGCTCTAATCACATGCCCACTACACGCACACGCACACACACAAGCACATATATAGCAAACAGATCAATTGGAAGACCACTCTTGCATTTCAAAAACAATCTGAAGCAATGAAGGATCATCTTTTCTTTCTGAGAAAACAAAGCTTCAGAAGCAAAAGAGCTGGCATCTGTCCTGCTCCTTATCTATACAATGGTTTGAGTGAGACCAGCTTGAACATCAAGATCAACTGTGTGCTAATATTAAAGAAATTTAGCAGCATGCCACACCCACTCAATGACAGCCTTACCCTACCACTGTGTCTTACAGTAAAGCAGGATTTACTGTTCACTGATGGAAACATGTGGAGATTGATCTTCAACCACTTGAGCAAAATGGCTCAACTACATGTTCCAGCTGACTAAATGTTTTCAAGACACCTGCAGGCCTTGAGAGACATGCGTGCCTATAGAAGTTGAGAACTTCTTTATTTTACTGACCCCTCATTTGTAGTCTGTGATGAGAGAGTCCACCATTACTTTCTATAAAAGTTATATTTAGATGGTAAACATGTTTGAGTAGACATGTTCATGCCTCCTGACAGTAATTGAACTTGTATTCCTCTTTTTCAATCAAAGAGACACTTAAGCTAGGTGTACATTAAAAGTGGTCCAGTTCCTGTTAGAAGGGACATTTTCTTTAATAAGGTTTTCAATTTTTAGGTCAATAGACATTAATTTCATTGTTAAAAAAAAAACAATAAAAAAACAGGATGTTTATTCAAACACATTCAATCCTTAGATATAACATTTATAGTAATAAGAAATAATGATAAATTTGAAAAAATCCATTGTTTAAAAATTAAAAAACATTGATTAAAAATTACAATATATTTATGAAATCAGTACACAAACCATTTTTAATCAGTAAACCTTTAAAGATTTTTGATAAGTGCTACATACACCCAAAGAGGAAGGCCAAAGTATACATCAGCTGAAATGCTATGATAAAAACAATCAAGAAAATGATACTAGTTCAAAGAATTCCTTGAATAGAACTCAGAAATTATAATCAAGAATTTCAAACTGCCATTCCTTGGATTGTCGTTTGGGTCACAAAATGTTTCAGTCTATTTCGTTTTTCACCCATTCTTAAATGTTAACTGGAATTTATTTTCTAAAGATCTCTTTAACAGAACAACTGCTTTTAGTAAAAAATAGTGATCCTGTATGTTCTTGAGGCTGTTTTATATTGAGTGTTCCAATATCTTTTGCTACACAAATGATAACACCTCTAAAAATAGGTGAAGAATTATTTTCCCCTCTATAATTCCTTTTCCATAGAAGAAACAGAAACTTATTCAGACCATCCCAGCTAAGTACTGTCATATCACATACACTGGAAAATATCCTCTCCATTACACTAATAAAAAGAAAGTTCCATTTAAACAGCTTCTTCTTAAGAGCTGCTATTTTGAGGAACCGACTCCCAAGAGGATGCTTCCCCGATCGCTACAATCTTAACCTCTTTAAATTTAGGGTCAACCATTATCATTCCCACATGGCCTTATAATCTACACTCCTTACTTCCCCTTTTACATTCATGCAACAACTTCAATCAGTAATGCTCTAACTTGAGTGGTTCTTGGGCCTTGGACTGGGTGAATCTTTTTTTTTTTTTTTTTTTTAATAGTTACTTAATGAGATACCATCTGAATAAATATAGAGATTTGTTATCAGATGTGATGTATATTTGTGTGTTATTTAAGTTTTAGTCTACGAGTAAGAAACAATTTTCGTAAAATAACTTCATCAGAAAAGGAGAACGGATGAAGAAAGATCAGATTTAAACAACAGGAATAGAGATCACAGTTATGAACAAATGTTTGTCTATACTGATCTGTTTCAATAATTTCAAAACCCATTGTACTGGAGAGGTGATTTAAGGTGTAAATTATGCGGAATATGTTGTTTAGTTACCTTTCTGTTAATGAAAAAGCAATAAAAGACTATATTCCTTGGATAATTAATTATTAATAATTAATTATTTTCTCATCAGATTGAAGAACAATTAAATTAAAAGTGACCTGAAAGATACAATGGGTGAAACAGTATTGGATAACTCAAGGAATTAATGCAAACATTTCCCTTACACATTTTATATTCACTTTTATATATATATATATATATATATATATATATATATATATACACACACACACACACACACACACACACACACACGTGTGTATATCTATCTATCTATCTATCTGAGATCTATCAGAGAAAGAGTGTGTCTGTGTGTGCATTATTTTTCTATTAGGTTATATTAAAGCAATCTTTCAAAGTATTTGAGTTTGCTTGCTTTGAAAATCAGCATATGAAATTCTGGTTTTTATCTTCTGATCACTAATGGAAAAACGAATAATTATTATCAAGCAAGTCCTACTTTCTCCCAATTCATTCATGCATATACACACACTATATATATCTCCAAACAAGTTTTATTAAATTCCACTGTCTGTCTATTTAACTTTTCTTTATATCTTTCTAGTTTCCAAATGAAGTGTTGTACATCTGGATTGGAGCTATGAATTGTTGTACATCTGGATTGGAGCTATGAACTGTTGTACATCTGGATTGAACATATGAATAAATTATACAAATGGTTTTTTCTTGTTATATTCAAATACTTTCTACTGTCACAGTCATTGCCAAGAATGGGTGTTATCCGTATGATAAGCAAGATTTACTTGACTAAATTCTGGTGTTTTACCTTGCTGGAATTTAGTTAAATAAATCTTGCTTACCCTATTGATAACACCTGTTCTTGACAATGACTTTGATAATTGAAAGTACTTGAATATAACAAGAAAAATACCATTTGGACAATTGATTTATAACTTCAATCCAGATTTATAACACATCACTCAGAAATTAGAAAGATATAATAAAAAGTTAAAGCAACAGACTTTGTCAGTGGAATTTAATAAAACTTGTTTGAATGAATTCTTGTTGCCTAAATATATCTTATATTAGTTAGAAGTAGGCAGAGAAAACTTAATACGCAAAGCGAGTATAGATATGAAGCATAAAATCTGTAATTTATCTATTTTAGTGAAATAATGGAATGAGGCATTGTGGGAAATTTGTTATTTGGTTTGTAAACTTATTCTACGATTAGATAGAAATTACATGTCATTTTGGTCATCAATTTTCTATGATATTCAAATACCTCAGTGTAGATTACCTTCAAAAAATCATTGTTTTAGCTGCCATCTGAAATCTATCATTCTAGTCAGTGTAATGTTTAAGGGAAGTAAGAGACAAACCGTTCATTTGGTGTGTTGTTACAAATTTTGTCAAACACCAAAGCTCTATATCTGGCTTCAACTCCATAAATTTGTTGGCCATCTTTTGAGTTCATATTTCCTGTCACCTTTACCGATAAAGATTTAACAAAATATTACTTACAAAAAAAGATGTTAACAAGTAATTAACGAGTTTTGATGGTCAGTACACATCGAATGACTTTTGAAGCAAGTGAAAGAGCAAAGTTAAACCTAAAACAAGTCTGGAGTAATCTGATAGCAACAAAAAAACAAAATGCTAGATTGAGCAAGATATATTGATAAATTAGAACGTGGGTTACAAGTTGACAGATTAAATAAGTAAAATTATATCCACTCTTGGAACAGATTCAATTTCAGTTTAAGATCAAGGATGCATATAAATTAAAGACAAATTTGAAGATAAATAAGCCATTATCTGTTGACTTGCTGGAAACAGAAGAATTTAATACAATGTGTTGATCTAGCAGATGTGCAGAGTAAACATTCCAGACCCCACTCTCCCAACTTGTTTGGGCAAAATGCAAAAGCATCTAGATAAAGGAATGATCCAATAGTCATAAATTAAATTAAAAAGAAAATAATTTATTTATTAATTGATTCTGTTGTAAATATCTTTCATTTTTTTTTTTTTTTTACTTATTTTTTCTAAAAGGCTTGTACTCAAATTGAAGTGATGCATGTTATGTTTTTGGGACGCATGTTATGTTTTGGGACGCATGTTACGTTTTTGTATGTTTGAAATTTGATTTCTTTTTTCACATATTTCCATAAATTTTTATCTTTGGACCCTACTCTACCCCAAATCCTAGAGTCACGCCTAATTAATATTTCTCGAGGTAGGTATAAGCCTGTTTGATTTTAATTAACAAAATCATTAACATATAGGTTTGAATGTTTGTAAATGACAGCTGAACAAATTTGAAATAAAAGAAAAGAAAAAAAATTACCACAATGTCATTATTTATAATAGAACTGTTTCATTTTCTTCTTTCTTTCTCTCTCTCTCTTTAACACACAAGAAATTCTTTAACACACATATACTCAACTGACATTCATATATTGACTTGCCCAAAATCCACCAATGGCAGACCATGATATGTTATTATTGTAGTAGATTTTTTTCTTTTTCAAATGTCTAAGGAATTTCTTTTACTCAGAGACTTCTCATTCCAAGCAAGAATTCTGCTACTCCAAGATAGTAGACTGTCTGAGCAATGCCGAACAATGGAGCAATTACCAAAATTCTGCACATTGCTCCTTTGAAGAGAGCTTTAGGTCCTTCATATTTCAAGGTTTTTCTAGAAAAGACAAAGACAAAAAAATGTTAATATTTGAATTATGCAAAATGGTTAAAAGACATGAAATCAAAGAATATCTTGAAATTTCATTGTTAATTATTCATTCTTGAATTCTTTCATCTTATTTTTTTTTAATATCATTTGTCATATTGGATGTAATATTTGAATCCCTGAAATGAAGCATTGTTTGTTATAAATTTTTCACTAGTACTTACTTTCATCACCATTGTTTATTAGATGAAGTTTTGTCAACCGTTATTATTCATTTTTCACTTGCTTTTTATTCCACTAGTAGTATTAGATGGAATAAGATTTGAATTTCTTACATCAAGCCTTGTCAATTATTATTCATTTTTCAATAGGATTTCTTTCATCTTATTTCTCTTGCTTTTTATTCCACTAGTAGTATTAGATGGAATAAGATTTGAATTTCTTACATCAAGCCTTGTCAATTATTATTCATTTTTCAATAGGATTTCTTTCATCTTATTTCTCTTGCTTTTTATTCCACTAGTAGTATTAGATGGAATAAGATTTGAATTTCTTACATCAAGCCTTGTCAATTCTTATTCATTTTTCAATAGGATTTCTTTCATCTTATTTCTCTTGCTTTTTATTCCATTAGTAGTATTAGATGGAATAAGATTTGAATTTCTTACATGAAGCCTTGTCAATTATTATTCATTTTTCAATAGGATTTCTTTCATCTTATTTCTCTTGCTTTTTATTCCACTAGTAGTATTAGATGGAATAAGATTTGAAAATACCAAAATATTCCTTGTTTGCAGGGATTTTTATATCTTATTTATAAATTTGACCAATTTAGCCTCCTGTTTTTTTAATTTTTTTCTTTATACAGATTCTTTGTATATTTCCTTTCAATATTTTTTTGGGGGGAGCATAGGTTGAAATAACTTTTTAATACTCAAAATCCTATGTTGCCCACCAAAATTCCGAATCACCCATCATTTTCTGTTCAGTTGTTTATTGCTCACCCAACAGTTGAAATCACCCACTGGTGGACGATATTGCTCAGGCTGGGAAATCCTATAATAAGTCATTGGTAATATATTTCTAAGAAAACATAGTAAGGAATTTTCAACAAATGTGCTGTAAAATGAGTTTCTACCAATATGAAATGTTGCCAATATGGCTATATAAGAAAAATCATTAAATACCCGAAACAGTCCAATATTCCTTTGTAATCCTGCTCTCCTTGGGCTTTGGTCAGAGTTTGAAGTCGGGTTTTTATAACTAGAGAAAAAAATAAAAGCATAAAGTTAACATTAAATCCACAAAATATAAAGCCTGAATGTGTAATGAATTTCACAGAGCACACAGCTGCTACAGCGGAGAGCAAACACCTTGATCCTTGGATGAGCAAACAAATACTTTTGTCAGACTCTGAAGTGGTGCTTCATATTTAAATTATTCTCTCATTTTTGACAGGTAGTATACTAGTGTTTTTATAATCCAAACCAAGTTTTCTTTTTACAATGTTGCTAAAGTTTAGTATCATCTGTTTTAGGATTTGATATCAATCAGCAGATTTCAAAGAAGATAAATAAGCTTGTCTGGTGGTTGAGAGAGTTGCATATTTTATATTGGTACCAAGGGTTGGTGTTCAACCCCAGGTAGTGGCATCACAGGCTTGGCAAACAGTGTGGTAACTGCACTAAATGACACTACCAGAAAGGAGGACACCAAATTTAGTTTAGGTAAAATTTTGGTGCAAAGTTTCATCTCTGCATGTGCTGTAGTTTTTGTTGATGCTGGCATTTTTATAAAGTCATTAATTTTGTCAAATGTTGTCATCTCTTTCAATTAGATTTTATTAATTTGTATTTGAAAACCAAAAAGAAAAAAAATTTCCTGCTCAATTACTAATGTTGTTATTCAGTATAGAAAGATTTTACAATAGTTAGCATTCATATACTAAAATATAAAAAATTTAAGCTATATTCGGTATATGCAAAAGTTTCTATCATTTAAAAAAACAAAAAAAACATGAGTCATGATTTTCAAAAATGTTTTCCTTCTTTCTGGTTACCACCCAAATGTAGGATTCATTCATTTTCTATGGGTTATCAACCCTTTTCAGGTTATTTACAAGGGTGGGCTAAAAAGTTCATATGCTTACTATGAAGGAGTGATGCTAAAGATGTGAAATCTTGCATGTATTAATCGCAATTCTTCTTATTAATAACTGCATTGTTTTTTTCCAGGTAAACTAACATCTGATTGTTCAAAGACGACTTCTAAAGTAACTAGTAGTGACTTCTCTTGAAAATAGACAAAATTTGGCATTGTGGTGTTATCAAGTACCTGCAGAAAAAGGAGTTAGTCCTCAAGGACATTCATTCTGATATGGTACTGACCAAGCTCTATGTTGCTTAACATTGTTGACTGTATAGAAACTGTTGTTTCTATGTGATGTGGCTGTAACGTACTCTGCTATTTAGTGTAGAGCTGGGGATAGAATAGATGGATTCATGCCTTTTGTAAGGGTATTTCTGTGAAAATGAATGCAACAAAGTAGTCTGGGATTTGAACTCTGGTTCCATTTTCCTCACTCATAACCATTACACTATCCACACATTCTAGATACAAAATTTAGTTTAGATAAAATTTTTGTGTAATGTTTCTGTTTCACACACTGTTGCTTTTGACAATGCTGGACTTTTTATAAAGTCATTGATTTTGACAGACTTTGTGATGTGTTTTAACTACATTATTAATTTGTGAGCTGATATCAACACACACACACATACAAAAAAAAAATGGCGGCTTCTCTTGTTGATGATGACAGATGACAGCTTGGCAAAAAGATTTTTTTTTTTAAGAAAAATGACTAAAGATCTTTTTGAATCAAACTGGTTTATTAAATGACTTGCACTAGTGACTGATTGCTTGTTCTGCACAAATCACATTTAATTCATCAAAATAGCATCAGCTGTACAGGTACACAGTAATCCATGTATCAGGTAATAAAGTGATTGCAGACCAAATTGAGTCTGAAAGGTTTGAACTACATTACATGGCAAAATGTTTGGGACCACCCTGCATTTCTTTAAAAAACACCTTAAATCTCTGATCTTCATTCCTCCTTGGTACACACTGCTAGTAGAGTGGCCATGTTTACACTATAACAGTAACAAGAAAACTGGCTCAATCAAGCTCAAACTTTGATGACTACAATAGTATCAACTATGAGCACACACAAGCAGAAGGCAGTGTGACAAACCTAAAGATATCTAATGGTGAAAGTGTGGAAAACTTTTTACTTACCCTCATATAAATAAATAAAAACTTTTGAGATCAAGTGACACTTAACTGGAAGGTAGGGAATTCTAGTAATGGGATTATATAGTCAGGTGGTATTTTAGATAAGGGGGAGTCACACAGAACAAGAAGAGATGTCGAGTCAGACAGAGATGAGGGTTGATGTTGTTTGTAAATGGGAATCAAATAACAGCATGGGGCAAAAGCCGATCAGTTGATGAAAAACTACTTAAGGTACCCAGACTGTACTCTGGAGGTCCCCAGCACACATACCACATCTTAATTTAGGAAATTCCGAGGAACTTACCATCAAAAGGATTAACACTGAATGACGCCACACATCCAGCAGCACATCCAGAAATGAAAGAATGATAAAATACTGTTTGCTGACTTCCTTCGCGTTTCTTTCCCTACAGACAGAAAGAGAATAATTGATTTTTTGAAGCAATGTTATAAAATGGTGACATAGAAAATTTTACAATTCTTACATTTTATGGTGAGTCAACACGTTTGTTTAGTAGCATATCAATTCCTTATGGGTCATTTCATGCCAAAATTTAATTTTTTAGGGAGCATTAGTAATTTAATTTACAAAAAGGTATTTTTTTAAAAAAGGGCATTGCTGGTAATATTTGTTTTTTTTTCAACAAAAATGTATTGCTGGTAATTTTTTTTTTACTATGAATATGTGTTGCTGGTATTTCTACTATAAAAATATATTTTTATACTTTTATAGTGGTTTGACCCCAGTTTGGTGGTGGTGGTGTGTGTGTGTGTGGGGGGGGGTAACTATTTGCCTATAATTGGGACCCTGACAGGTGCTACTACCCTAGGTCAGGGTGAACCTGGGAACAACAGCAATTAAAAGGTGTTTTCACACTCCTCAAAACCTCCTGATCAGAGACCTTGCTGCTGGATGTAGTTTATCATTATCATCATACCCAGGCTGGGTGAGTCAGCATCATAATTATTCTAATAATTGTCCGATTCTTTTTTTCTTTTTACGTCTTATCAACCATTTGTGGATTATTTAAAGTCAAAACATAATTTGGATTCTAAGAATAATTTTTTTTCTTTACTAGTGAATATTGTATTAACAATTATTGTATTACATATTATTGGATTTTTTGATATTCTATTAAGCCTCTTATTATGCTTTCCTCCAAGATGAACATTTGAGAGCCAGGTTTTTGCATCATTTTGTATGATGTCCACTTTGTACACACACACAGATACACACACACACACACACACACACACACACGTGTGTGTGTGTGTGTGTGTGTGTGTGCGCATACAAGCATGTACTTTGTAGATATAGAAATCAACATTGTATGGTGACAGTTTCATGCCTTTAACATTCATAAGATCTTATGGTATGGTGATTTGAGATGTGAAACTGAAGTTTTTTTTTTATTTATAAGTGAATGTGTAGTTCTTTTTTATATATGTATCTAGAGTCATGGGAATGTTTTTCATTTTCCAAACACAGTCAGGATACTGTGACCATATTCATAGTTAATGTTATTGAGTGTGGGCCTTTACTTTTTTTATTATCAATGCTTCCATTATTTTTAGTCATATATATATATATATATATATATATATGTCATCCACAGACAGACTGTTTCACTGTATCACAGCTCTTCAGTGTGGCTAAACGTCTGGTTGCCTCTAGCTAAGATCGAAACCCAGCTGAATTGGCGTCAGTCAGAGATTCTACCACTAAGCTGGCAGGTATGAAAGTAAATTTTAGCGTATTTATTTTTAGATAAACACACAGTAACTGAGAGGACTCGATTCGCTTTACTGAAGAGTCTTGCTATAATAGCCGTAATAGTCACTGTTTACAAACCTACACTTCCTCCCCCAGAGAGCTCAACTGAAATAAATTTTTCAGGAGCCTATATATATATTACACACTCACACACAGATAATATATTATTAGTATAAATTTTAACTCTATTATTATTCATCAAGTGCTGTTTTCTTAACACCAGCATTCAATGTGCAATTATTTGTGTGTGTATATTATATATATATATATATACACATGTTTCATTAAATAATATAGACAAGTGTTGTCTATTTATTTTATGTAAATTCTTTTCATAACGTCTGATAAGCTTAATAACATTATCATTAAAGAAAGAAAATCACAATATTGATACATATTTTTTAATCCAATCGAAGCTTTTGGCTTACATAAGCCATTATCAAAGATGACAATTACAGTACAATATATTAAGCAATACACGGACAAGAAAGTGATGATAGTCTGCTCTTGTTTACATGGATGATTTCCAAGCAACGATAAACATGTGCATACAAGATGCTAGAAGTGAAAATCGCACCGCAGCTCATGATGTTACACATGACCATGCGAGAGTGAATTCGAGAAGTATTAAGTATGGGAATCCGTTGGTATAAACCAATGGCTTCTGTTACCAATTATAGACATTTATGAATATTTGTGGAATATTCTTCCTTTATTTGCGAGTTGCTTTCTCATTAATTGAGAGAGAAGTATATAGAGAGAAGTTTAGAGAGAAAGAAAGAAAGAGATAAGGTTTTAAAGGAAAAACACAAATGCCATATTTTAATTTGAATTCTTTTTTTGTTTATATATTTTATTTTCACATTTTTTTTGTTGGAATTCACAATACATTCTTGACTTCTTTTCTTTTTTGACCACTAAGTGCATAGAGATTGATGTAATGGAATAACCTGTCACTCCCATGAGTGACTACACTATAGGTAGTAACTACCTATAAGTTAATGGACTACTGAGTCTAGCTGGGATGTGTTGAGACATGCAAGAACTACCGACCTTCCAATAGTAGCACTCACTACTGGAATGACTTGTGACAACCTTGTGCATAACTGTTAACTTTATTCTTATTGTACTGGTTTTTTACAATAAACCTTTACTTATTTTATCCACCTTGTTTTTCAAGTATATATTCCTATTAGCATGGAATATAACTATTTATAGTGTTTGCAAGGATTTAAGAAAAATTCAACAAAAATACAAGATATTTCTTGTCCTTTATATTTAAGAAAGCATCAAATGAATCAATTCACTTATCTTAGGATTATTTTTAAGTTCTGCAGAGGTATATCCACTCTAAGTAAATTGGCTTTATTTTCAGAAATCAAATTTTTATTAAGATGTATTTCATGATGTAAACCTATTGGAAATTGTTTGGCTATTTGTATATATTAATATAGATAATTTTTATATGATTTGAAAGTTAGATATTATTATAATGCACCATTTGTTTGAGGTGAAACAAGTATTTCTGTTTTGGATAGGGATGTGTACAAAAGTTTTTCTAAATTTGTTTTCATATATACATACAGGGTACGATGAGTAAATTGTTGCCATTTTACTTTTCTTAATTTTGTGCATGTGCATTGTTTGCTTTTGATTTTGTTGACTGCACAGTATATTAGGGTCAGTTGGGCACCATCTATGAGAAAAAGAGCACTATGACGCAATTCACTCCACCAGAAATTTGAAAATAGCATGCTGTACTTCTTGGCATTTGTGACAAAAGCTCCAATATTAACATTTCAGATTGTTTGGGTGTCAACTTGAGGGGAGTGCAGAAGTCTTGGAAAGAGTTGGATGAGTCTAATGGTGATTACAAAGGTACGGCAGCTTGGAAAACTCACTATGATTGTTCTGATGAGAAAAGAACTCCCGAATTTGTTGATGAGTACCTCAGACTCAACACAGAGGCTTACATGAAGTGCCTTGAAGAGGTAGTGCTGCCCTGAGTCAAGAGGGTGGCTGCTGGAAAACTGTCTGGTAGCAGGACTCTGCATCATGCCACACAAGCAGGAGAATCCAGTCATAACTGTCAGACAATTTCTGTGACCACATCATCCCTTACATCTGGCCACCTAACTCCCCAGACTTCGCCTCCCTTGATTATTATGTGTGGGGTGGAGTTGAGTGAGAGACCAACAAAATTCCTTGTAATACCAAAGATGAACTGAAGGCAAGGATTATAGCAGCATTCAACAACTTAAACAAAGAGACCGTCCAGAAGAGATGCAGGAGGTTCCTAAGTTGCCTGGATGCGATGGTTGAAGCCAACGATGATTTTATTGAATAAAATTTACTCTTTAGTATTTCAAGATATTTTTGTTTAATTTTGGTAAATATATCTGTTAAAATGAGATGTCAGTGTCATTTTCCTGCATTTTAGATGACAATTTATCCATCGCACCATATATATATATATATATATATATATATATATATATATATATATAAAGAAAAGAACAGTAAGATATATAATCCGGTGTTCTTATAGATATTTTATTTTTACAAAATAGTGCTCAATGTAAATTTACAGAGCATTAATATTATAAATTAATTGATTTAAAATATGTTTTTTTTCGCTACACATTTCTAACTTTTAGCTTCCATTTTTGAAACATGGTTAGAACTGTGTAGCGAAAAAAAAACATATTTTAAATCAATTAATTTATAATATATATATATATATATGTTTGTGTGTGTGAAAACAAATGTCCAATAGTTCATAGTTCTGTGTAATATTTTTTGCAAATATCTAAATACATTTAAAGAATTATTTTTTTTAAGTATATGATCAATATCAAAATTTATTAAAAATTTAAAATACTTTACCCTCTGAGAAAAAAAAAAAAAAAAAAAAAAAAAATATTTCTTACCATTGCATTAAGATGGGCAAAGAGAGGGAAGTAAATGGCCGAAAAGGTAACATCCCTGAGCATGGTGGCCCCACAACCTTTATAGAGCCCCGTGAATCCTTTCTCTCGAATCAACCCGATGGCAATGCTTGTAGCCGATAAGCGAGGCACAGCTTGGGCACCATTGCCAACTGAAAATCAAGGGAGATAACTCATGTAATACAAGCTAAAATGCCATCATTTTTTTCCTCTTTAGAAATGTACACAGGTTATACAATGTTTGATTGAAATAATCATGCTTTAACTCTTGACCAACAATATAATCCTTTTCTTTCTGATTGTCAATGTGTTTCTACAATAAAATGTTATAAAATAAAATAAGATATATCTTGGCTGATTTGCAGGCAAATAAACTAACATACTCAAGAGTGAGAGCCAGATGTGAATGAGACAAGGCCCCATCACAAAATGACCATATTTACGCATTACGCATATTCCCAACGCAAGAGTTCCGGTTGAGAAATAAAATAATATTTTAAAGTGTTTCTATTTTTTGACCAATAAAAATGCTTCCCTCCTAATTATACTTGCGTCATTTTACGAGCCTGTCAAGCCATAAAAAAACGCCATAAAGGGGTCACACTGAAGTACAACGGCAGTCAACAGGAGGCCAGGGAAGAGACCTGTCACGGTCAGGCTGAGCGGTCAGCAGCAGCCAGCAGCAGTAGTGCCATGCCAACCAGCGAGAACTACTATGAGAGATCAACCCAGATCTTCAGCCAGCCTATGAACTATACCACAAGGTAGCTGTCCCAAAACCACACGTTCCTATTGAAATAAATCACGTAAATCTATTTCTGCTGTTGTTGTATTTCTTTCTTGCAACCATACGCTTGTCTATAACAAAAATCATTAACGATACATTTATATTATGCATAAAATACTGCAACGATATCAGTAATAATTGTAGGCTTGAATAATACAGACAATCTCTTTCCAATGCATTGTGTTTTGAAACATTCTAAAACAGATTTTAGGAGAGAAATTGCACAATTCAGTATATAATCAGTAATTTTAATTTTTCTACTGCTTGAGGGAGAAATTTTATTAAGGCAAAAGCAAAAAATAAACAAGAAAAAAAACAAACTAAAACTGTGTAGACAGAGTAGTGGTAACATTAAATAAAAAAAAACAAAACTTGCTTCTCCCTGTTTCTCATTATATACAGGGCCAGTACAAGAGCCTCGTGCCCCCCTCCAATCTATCATACCCCCCCATTCATGATATAGGGGGCCCTCTCCACCCTATTACATCTCAATTTTCATAAAGGTAGTATTCATATAGAATACAAATTTTATTGTAACCTAATTATGTACAATAATGGATCACCTATTCAGTATAGATGAACAATTCAACTAGAAAAATTGAAAATAAATACAATGTATCTAATTACAAATTAGAGACATGTCATAGTAGATCATTGCATCTTAAATAAGTCAACAATGTTTGTGGCAATTTTTAACATCAACTTGAAATTTTTCTTGTTAAAAACTATAAACACATTCAACATTATAGATAAAAAAAAGTAAATTTTATATTGTGTTTTTTCAAGACTTACCACAAGCAAAATAAATTCACCGATTTCAAAAAAAAAAAAGAAAAAGAAGACCCCCCCAGAATGATGTCACAATGTACAAAAATTTTTCATCCTTCAATAGTCAGTTATGCTTAGTTTAATTTGTAATGTATATAAATGTAGGTAGAAAAAAGCAAATGTTGAAGATAACAATGGTCACAAAGCACTGCCAATGGCCCCCAATCAGGCTTCTTCTCCCCCAGTTAGGAGGTAAAATGCACCAGTCCTCCCTGAGATTATATATGTTTACTCCAGGTCCAAATGTAACTGAGGTGAAAATAAAAATTATGATGGTTTTATTTTTCTGTCCTCTTAGCAAGAGAAGTTGTTATCATTATACAAGTAGTCATTAGAGGAAGTTAGTTTTGATATTTTTCCAAAAATAAATCCTACTTGTGTTATCACAAAAAATTGATAAAGCTTTTAAATATTTGTTTAGCATAAACACATTTCTTTTGGATTTAAAACAACGATAAAAAAAAAAAAAAAAAAAAAGCAGGATGGGGAAAAATGGAAATGTTCAACTTACCACTTCTTCCTGCATCCTGCAGTTGTATTTTCAGCAATTCCATTGGTGTGGTCACAATAATTTGACATAAACCAGCCCCTGCTCCAGACAAAAGCTCACGGTGAAATGGGAGTTTGGGGCTGAAAGAAAACAATAAGAAAAGAATTTAATACAGCAAATGGGTGATTTGACAACTTCTTATATTTTATCATGATTACTGATTTTAATATTCCCTTTCTATCCAATATCTGCATCAAGCTGGTCTGTTACTTTGTGTGACTGGCAAAAGGTGCTTCTTCACCCCTACCCACCCACTGGGACATAAAAATGGGAATAAGAGGGAAAAAAAAAATGAAAAAAGGTGCTTACTTAAAGTTAGTTTTGAATCTATCAATATGTTCAGTTGGAATCTTGTCTCTTACTACTACTACTACTACTCCCTGACCCTGCCCTCCCACCATCTAATATATGAAGCGGATAGTTTCTCAGCCATAAAGCATACGCAAACCTCTTACTTTCACCAATATCCACCTAAAATTTCTGCCTTTCCATCAAACCAGAAGAAAATAATAAAATAAATATAAGAGAAGGAAGTGTTTACCGAATAATTTAGAAACTTTTTCATTTGTTGTACTATCATAGGAAATTATATACATATATATATATATATATATATATATATTATATAAAGGAGCTATCTACCTCCCGAATAAACATCTCTGACTATGATGTGATCTACTTAAGACTGAATCCATAAAAGACAAATATATATTTTATATATATATATATATATATATATATATATATATATATATGCTCTTGAAATAATTCAATTGAGCTCTCGGAGAGGAAGGGGTGATTTTATAAACAGTGGTTGCTGCTGCTAATGCAATGCTTTTCAACTAGAATCGAGCTCTCCTAGCCACTGACATCATTCGCATAGTAAAAACGTTAAAATTTCCCTTCTGCTCTTCCGTACGATAGCTTGGGGGTAGAATCTCTGACTGATGCCAAATCGGTCAGTTTCCGATCCCGGCTTGAAGCTTGGCGGCAGTCAGATTTGGCGCATGGCAGGGATTGTATTGAAACCCCGCTGAATTGGCATCAGTTGGGGAGATTACCTCTCAGCTGTTGGCACACAGCAGTGATGGGATTTCATGCGCATTTACAAAAAAAACATCATAACTATCAAATCCATTAATTGTGCCGTCTAGGTAGGCAAGGTAGGCAGTGCATAGCATGAATAAAAAACATCAGCAGCTACATTTACCTTTTGTGGCACAATATGCACCTAATCCAACAAATTTATGAAGGTGTTGTATCCTTAAAGAAGGTCACAGACAAAGGTGGTACTTGAGTGAAAGGAACAGCAACACAGGCATAGATGAAAGAAAGAGAGGTTCATTGTAAAAGAGAATACACTACTGAAAGACAGGGCATCAGTTAGCAAGCTAGTAATTCCCGAAGTAAGGGTATTTACCTCACCTCCCCACGGGGCAGGATGTGGCACAAGGCCGTTTTTTAATGTGGGGCAAAATTCCCCATAGACCCCGTATACACAGGGTCGGGTAGCTGTCTACCACCTCAGATGAAAGACTGCCCTTCACAGCTGGATATGAATCTCCAACTAATTCCCAAAGCAAGTCTCCCAGGTACATCCTGTGCCCACTATATATATCTACCGATATAGTCAGTCCACATATGCGATAGGGAGTGTGGGACATTCCATTACAGCAGAGACTCTGATTATTATGTATAAAATGCAAAATATTCTATTTTTTGTAGATTTACTACATAAAAGTTACAAGCTGCCTACCCCTGACACCACATGCCTTATATACATATATATATATATTTAGGTAAAATGAGAACAAATAGAGTATAATTTAGCTGTAAGTAACATTTAATTTAAAAGAGTGCTCAATACAGTGTAGAGCTAAATATTATTTTATTTATATATATATATATATATATATATATATATATATATATATGGGAAAATGATATGTAAATTTTTATATACCAGAACAATGTTAAGAAAATCAATTTCAACTTACCTGTCTGTTCTGAGGGCATGACGAAAAAAGTCATTGCCTACCAACTTGATGGCCTTTTCTGGTGTAATTAGTAAAAGGTTGACACCAGATCCTTAAAAAAAAAAAATATATAAGTTGTCAGACATTTGCCTTTTGAGGTGGAATAGGTCAAACATTTCTACAAGGAAAACTTGTAAAAGGGCCCAGTGAAAAGGACCCACAAGGAATTGAGGATAATCTATTATTATCTACCAAAAGAGATTATATCATTAAAGAAGATTTATTTAAATCTTACCAGCATCTATACAATTTCTTTTTTTAGTTTTTACTTTTTTTGGTTTATTTATAAAATGATGGACCATGACTTTGTGGCACACTGGGAAATCTTAGTGGGTCAGTCTGCCACTGTTTGCCTCCAAGTTTCTGAAGTAGGTAACTCACTGTGAATTTAACACAAGGAGTTTAAATAATGAACATGTCTTTTATTTTATTTCTTGATTTTACTTGTTTGTCTTATCTTCAATGCAATAATTAAAATGCCTTATAGCTTATATGTGTGTGTGTGTGTATGTGAATGCATGTGCATATATATATATATATATATATATATATATATATATATAAAACAACTAAAAAAGTTGCAAATTAAAAAATAATAATTTTTTTATGAAAGTATTTAAATAAATACTTTCATAAAAAATATTATAAATATTTTTTATGAAAGTATTTAAATAAATACTTTCATAAAAAATTATTATAAAAATTTTTTTTAAAAGTATTTAAATAAATACTTTCATAAAAAAACATTAATATAAAATGTTTTTTATGAAAGTATTTAAATAAATACTTTCATAAAAAAACATTATTATTTTTTTAATTTGCAACTTTTTAGTTGTTTTTTCTATATATACATATTAAGAAAGTATACGTGGCTTCTCATTATGCTATATATGAAAATTTCTCCGATTTAACCAGTAGAGAAGACAATATTTATGAATAAAAATGACAATAGGAAAACTGGTAATTGCTGATGTGTTTCGTCCAATGTGGACTTTATCAAAGCAAAATACGTAAAAAAGAAAAATTTATTATGATTGTAGCTTGAACTAGAAAATAATTGATGGTGTTATGGTGTCAGTGGTTTGAAAAGTAACTCCCTATCTATCTATAATTTTTACAAGACAGGAGAAATGATCATACATAAAATAGGGAATTATTTTTCAATCACTATGTGTGTGTGTGTACACACACACACACACACACAGTAATCCTATGTATTTAAGACACAGGTTTTTTTCATCCAAATATGAAAATAATAAAGAAGTCTCCCAAAATAAATATTTATTTTTAAGACATCACATTGCTTGGTGTGTCAAGATTTTTAAAATTAAAGATATTTTAAATATAAAAAGAATTCATAAATTAATTTTTAGCAGCACCAAAATTGCAATATGACAGACTCCTGAATAAGCTGAACATGAAGGAGAAATATATGAACAGTAGTAAATGAAGATGGACAATGGACAAAATGAGAATGGAAACTTGAAGTGGGACAGATTAAGAGAAGACTTAATATCATCAGCAATTGAAATCATCCCAAAGGAAAATAGACAAAGAAAAAAAAGGGGTGACATGATGAAAAGGAGACAAAAAAACAATGCCAAAGTATGGCACAAAATATAGGACACTGCATAAAGGAATTAGGAACAAATGCAGGCAGGCTAAAGAGGAATGACTCAACAAAAAATGTTCAGAAATAGAAAGAATGAGTATCAAAGAAACAGACAAAAGACATTCTCATCAACAGGATGCATAAAATACAATTTCAGGATGCTGATATTCAAGAAAAAAAATACTTTAGAGATGGAATGAACACATTGGAGAACTCTTTCATGATGAAAGAGAACGAGAGGCTAATCCACATTGACCAAATTGAAAAGAAACAAAGCAGCAGGACCAGACGGAATTGTAATAGAGATTCTGGCAATTTCAGTTGATTTTGGCATTAACAAAATAATATATAATAATAAATGAAATATACAACAATGGTGATATGCTGGAAGACCTAAGTAGCTCTATTTTCATAGCACTGCCCAAGAAGCCAGGTGCAAACAGATGTAAACTTCAATGGACAATTACCCTAATGAATCATATAACAAAACTTATCTGAATTCTGATGAATAGAGTGCACAGCAAATTCAGATTGGAAACAGGACAAGAACACTGCAGGTTCATTAAAGACACTGGAACAAGGAATGTAATATTTATGCTCAAAATTATATCAGAAAGAGCAATACAAATGTAGAAGAATGCGTATCTGTGTTTTATAGATTATGCAAAAGCATTTGATAAAGTACGTCTCAAAGAACTGTTGGAAGTGCTAGGTAACCATGACATATTTGGGAAGGATATTAGAATAATCCAGAACCTATACTGGCAGCAAACTGTTTGCATATGAATAGAAAATGAATTCAGTAAATATACGAACATAGAAATGGGTGTAAGACAAGGATGTGTCTTCTCACCAGACTTATTCAAACTATACAGCGAGGCAATTCTAAGAGTTTTAGAAGTCCTACCAGGATTCATTGTTGGTGGTCATAATCTTAATAATGTAAGATATGCAAATGACACAGTGTTTATAACAGACAAAGGAAAGGAGACTACAAGAACTCATACAGAAGGGAGGTGAGGGAAAGTGAGAAGAAAGGACTAAACATCAATTGAAAGAGAACAGAATGCATGCAAATTAAAATTCGGAAATACCAAAATGAAACAAGTACAACAATGTAAATATCTGGGAAATGTTTCAACAGAGGACAGAAAGTGTGACACTGAAATCTAAAGGCACATTGGGATAACGAAAGATGCCTTCCAAAAGCTAAGTAAAATATTAAGAAGTAGAAAAAATCCATTAGAAACAAAGAAAAGGGTATTGAACTGTTATATAATATCAGTCCTCCTATATGGCAGTGAATGCTGGACAATCACCTCACAGATGAAGAACAAACTTGAAGTAACAGAAATGTGGTTCTACAGAAGGATGCTGAGAATTCCATGGATGGAACATGTGGGCATTGGCAAAATTTTAGAGAAAAAAAACCAAAAATGTCACTTATACTTAACATCAGAAAAATAGAGTGGCAATTTCTAGGACACAATGAGAAAAGAGGGTTTGGAAAATCTGATACTCAAAGGACAGAATGAAGGCAAGAGGGACAGAGGAAAACAACACACAGCCTACTTAATGAGCTTGAGTAATTGGATGATGGAACAAGGTTTAAGAGAGATAACAAAATGACAAAATTTATTAAGAGTTGCAAAGGACAGGAAATTGTGGAGAGCTATGATCACCTACACCCTGAAGGGACACGGCACATAGAAGATCAGAAAGTAAAAAGTTTGGGACATTAAAATGTGATAAGTTTAACTGCAATTTAAAGGAGGTTATTTTTGTTACATAAACAAACATGGCATTTATTGAATTTTTGTGCTCAATTGATGCTTATCATGGACTTTTGCAGATTGTGGTCATTAATGGCTGATAGGTAGAAACTTATAAATAATACCTAATACCTACTCTTGCAGTTTCTAAACAAATTTAATGTAAAAAAAAAATCAAACCATAATTGTGGGTTACCCCACTTGGCGCCACCAAAAGCGCCACTTAACTGGCATCATTTAAATCTATAAAAAGGCAAGCACATTCTCTCTTTCTCTTTAACTCTTGCTTTCTGATGTAGTTGAATGTAGATAAAGAATGCTGCCGCTGGGACATATTCGCTTCCTTGTTCCTCTGTTGATTTTGAACTCTCACATACACACACACATATGTGGCTATCACACATGCCTATTACACACACACACACATCCTCATAGCTAGTTTCAATGTATTTTCCTTTCATTATAATTGTGTACACATGTAATTCCTTTTGTTATTAACATGCATTGTCATTTGTTTTATATTCATTGTTTTTTCCTTATTTTTACCTGGATTTGCATGAGTCCGCCTATAATATTTGTGGGACAAATATTCCAGGAGCTCATAAATATTTAATATAAAATGTCTATAGACTTATTTTCAGCCAATCACTTCAAAATTCTGTAACATAAGTTGTTTTTTTTTTGTTAGAAACCTATAATAGATATTTTTTTTAGAAACCTATAATTGATAGGGGATATTGTTTATTTTTTATACACTTATAATTAATAAGAGATATTGTTTTTTTATACACCTATAATTAATAAGGGATACTGTTTTGTTTTTTTTATACACCTATAATTGATAAGAGATATTGTTTTTTTTATACACCTATAATTGCTTATAAACCTATAATAGATAGAGGAATTTAAAAAAATCTTTTTTTTTAGAAACCTATAATTAATAATTTTTTTGTTTTATTTTTGTTTAGAAACCTATAATTGTTAATGGATTCTTTTCTTTTTTTTAAAGAACCTATAATTGATAAAAGGATTTTTTAAAAAAACTTATAGATTTTTTTTTTATAAGCTGGACGTTTTATTTAAACTTTATAATTAATACCAGATTTTACATTGGGCATGAATGGATTGAATTTTCTGTTTCATAATTTACTGTTTTCATTGCAGAGGAAAGTAAGAGAGGACTTACCTCGGTACATGCCAAAAAAGCCTTCATTTCGAAAAGTCTTTACTGCACAGTCAAAGCTAAGAAAGAAAAAAATTTTAGAATAAGTCAAATAGAATCAATAAATGAAGCAAAAATGTTAAATTTTATTTATGAATTTTGTTTTAGCTGATGATACTGATTTTTAATTTTCTCATTGGAACAAAAAAGAAATAAAAGAAAAACACTTTTCAACTGTGTGTTCAAGTTTATAATTTTCAAAACTAAACGCCTCGAAACATTTTATTATTCCAGGAAAAATTTGATTGTGGATTTCTTTATAGAATTTAAAAAAAAAATTATTTCAATCAAATTATGTCAATGTTTAAATCATTTCATGACAAATTTATTCAAATACTGCATGTGAAATTTGAAGCCATGACTGAACGGCAAAATCAAAATTCATACAAACTTCTTCCTCTTTATGAAGAAATTTTTTTTTTTTTAATTACATGATTTTTTATGAGTTTTTTTTTTTTTTTTTTTTTTTTAAATCATTTTTTTAGCCTATCGATTCTTCAGGTGACAAATTAAACTACAGGAAATCGGAACAAAGTCTTTTCTGATGTGGTAGGGGATGTGGGTTCAATTTTTTTCTGAAGCCCTCCCACCCCCTGCTTTGTTTGAAATTCATGGATTTTTTAACTTAATGGATAGAGGAGGATATTGGCTAAAAATGCGATAAAAAAGTAAGGAAAAACAAAATTGATGATTTTACAACTCAAAGAATAACTAAAATCTGTCTTAATTCGATCATTTAATTCTTTATCTGTGGTTTGTAAAGTAATGAATTAATTGTAGATCACTGATTGCACACCTTAAAAAAAGTAAAAAATGTATTGTAAATTCTTTGATTCAAGGATTTTCTTTTTTTTTTATTACATCAACATTAGATGTAATTGTCTAAATTCCTCAGATGAAGCAATTTCAATTATTAATTTATTTTAGAACTTAAAAAGAAAAAAATCAGGAGAAATAACATGAAAGACATGTGACAAGTGTAAATAAAATTATGACCGCATTGTGGGAATTGTAGAAGAAATGGCGGCTTATTTCCATAACATTCACAAGCAAAGTTTTTAAGACCTAATCAGTAAAATGTTGTTTTAGTAAGATAAGCTTCAAAGAATAAAAGAGTTCAAGCCATACTAGTGACCGGTTATTTCTTATTAATTAAGATTATTTAATAGCTGGAGAATAACAACCTGAAAGTCATAAATAAAACTAAAAGCAACAGAAATAAGATGAAAGTGAAAGACAAGTCGAAAATCAATAACAAAAGACTAAGACTTGTACTGTTTTCATTACCAAAGTAAATCTAATTTGTTAATTTGATTGACCAAGACCAAAATTTTTGTATCCTCAGCCATTTTATTGAAAAACAAAAATTTGTTAGCAAACATTGTAAAGTTTATTAGGTAACCAAATTTTATGGCATTAGGAACATTTAATTTTTAATTAACTTCATTAAAAAAAATTGCTTTTTTGGTTGTAATATGGCAGCTTTCATTAGATGCATTAAAAAAAATATATATTCCCAAATTAGAATTTTTTTTTATTTATTCTAATAAACAATAATAATAAAAAGTGAATTTTTCAGTATACTGTGCAGTTTTATAAAACTATAATTTTTTTTTTTTTTTAAACATGCTGATTCGTGTTGAAAACCTCACAGTTTATTAGTATTGTTGAAGTGATTGATAACATTTTTTGTTGAAATTTTTACATTTCATTCATTTTCGCAAACCAATCGATGAAATTTAAATAAGCTGATTTGTTTGGAAAAAATACTTTGACAAAAAATTTTGCGGTTTTTACACACCCTAGTAAAACCAATTGTACTTTGTACCCCCTTACCTGTTTGTATTTCTGCCACCTATTTTAGAGGGTGTAACAGACTGACGGACTAACGGAAGTCACAAAATTTTAGTAGTTTATTGTAAACCAGCACAAAAGATTTGTACAGTTTTTGAGAACGGTTCTAATTTATTTATTTATTTCTACAGCTTATCTACCCTTTCATGGTTAATCAAAATTCAAAACAAATTTAGATTCTAAGAAACTATTTTTTCTTGCAAGTGAATATTGTAATAACAATTTTTAAAAAATAAAAATGATTTTTTCCTGATATTTAACCCATAGCTGGATGGAGGAGATAGATTCTTACTTTTCCCAATAGTATTTGAGTGTAAGTGAATGTATTGTAATGAGACTGATTGGAATTCAAACTTGGCTCTCCGATTTCTCATTCCAAGCCTGTTATCCATTACACCAACTACACTTCTATGAAGAAGGTACTGTGATTGATCAAATGTGTAAAAACTGGTTTGTGAATTTTTATTTTCATGATTTTTCACAGAATGACGCTGAGTGGAATGATCAAATTCATACTTTAGTTAAGAATAATCAATGTTATACAATGCAGGAGATCACTAACATACTCAAAATATCCAATCCAAGCATTTAAAATCATTTTCACCAGCTTATGGTAGTCTCTTTGATGTGTGGCTTCCAGATAATTTAATTGAAAGCCCAGCTGGACAACATAATGAAAATGTTCCATTTTGTGCCAGATGATGAAGAGTGAGTACTTTACAATGCTATGAAATACAAGAGACCAGGAGGCAAGTGAAATGAACCAAAGCTATCTTTATTAAAAAGCTGGTCTTTATCTGAAGAAGGTGATTCTGTGCATATAGAGGGATTGGAAAGTTTGGGAGGGCCATTTCCTCTAAGCTCCTTCTATAAAACCAAATGACATTCAAACAAGTACTGATGCCATTTAGAATTATTAAAAGCAGTACTTAAAACATAAAAGGTGTAATATTCTATTATAGTGATATTAGATTACATGTTTCTTTGATGAACAGGAGAAAATTGTTACAGTGGAACTTGGAAATTTTTTACTCATTTGCTGTCTTTGACAAATATAGCAACTTTGATTGGCCATTTATTTTGGGCTTTATAGGATTCATTTAATGAAGAAAAAACTTCACTTCTCTAGAAGATTGCAAAAAGCACTTGGAGCAATTTTTTGCTGGGAAAGATGAATTCTAGAAATTATAAGAGGTTGGAATTATGAAGCTGCCTGAAAGATGACAGAAAATGAGTGGAATTATATTTATTTACATTTGGACTAATATCCTGATCTTTGTTGTTATTAAAACATTTTGGCTTCTTCTGGTGTTTGTTGATCCTTCAGTGAGTTTTGAACTTCATCTTTTATTTAATTTATGGTGCTAGATTGTTCCACTGTCCATGTCTAGGGATATCTTGTTTTGTGGACATTTTAGTACTGATTAGACATTGTTAGTCCCAATTCCTCCCTGAGTCTGGGTCAGTGGGAACAGAGCAAGCAATAATCAAGTAGTACTATCAGGTCATCCCATAAGTTCTGTCCGAATTTTAACTTTTTGTTAAAATGAACGAAATTTGAAGAGTATTTTATAATGTCTAATGGAGCTGAACATTATTTTTATGTTTAGATGCATTTAAACTGATCAAATTTTATTTCAGAGAACAATAAAATCAAATTTTGTTGGATTAAAACCCTGCTAACATGGAAGTACCCAAGAATCATTTGAGGCACATAGTGCTTTACGAGTTCAAAAAAGGAAACTCAGCAGCTGAAGCGGCTAGAAAAATTCACTCAGTTTATGGAGAGGAATGTGTGAATGAAAGAAATGGCAGAAGATGGTTTGCAAAATTCAGAGGTGGAGATTTCACCCTTGAAGATGAAGATCGAACCGGACGTCAAGTTGAGTTTGATGAAAAGCTTCTTGAAGCAGCCCTTGAAGAAAATCCTGTTTTATCAGTTGAGGAATTGGCAGTGGTTTTCAGTTCAAACCATACAACTGTTTATCATCATCTTCAACAACTTGGAAAAGTTCCTAAACTTGGAAAATGGGTGCCTCATGAATTGTCTGAAAACAACCTCAAATCCCGAGTTGACATCTGCTCTTCTCTCCATTCTCGCCAACTTGTTTCACCTTTTTTGGATAGACTTGTGACTGGCGACGAAAAATGGATCTTTTATCAAAATGTTAAGCGTCATAGACAGTGGCTTAGTAAAGGGGAAGGACCCCAGCCACAGCCGAAAAGGGAACTTCATGGGCAAAAGGTTCTTCTTTCAATCTGGTGGGATCGCCAAGGAATAATCCACTTTGAATTCTTACCACCTAATGCAACAATTAATACTCAAATATACTGTCAGCAATTAAAGCATTTAAATGAAGCTTTGAGGAAAAAAAGACCTGCTCTAGTGAATCGAAAAGGTGATGTTTCATCAGGACAATGCGCGACCACACACAGCAAGAATCACGTCACAAAAGATCAAAGAACTTGGTTGGGAGAAAATTCCTCATCCACCTTATTTTCCCGATCTTGCTCCTTCAGACTATCATTTGTTTCGTAACTTACAGAATCATTTGGAAGTAACAGCTTTTGTAACACAGGAAGAGGTTAAAATTTGTCAGTTCTTCGAATCAAATCCAAAAGAATTTTACAGTAATGGAATTAATAAGCTTCTTAATAGATGGAAGGAAGTCATAGATAATCAGGGAAAATACATTGTTGATTGAATCTGTAATTAAATGTAACATTTGGTCACTTGTTTTCTTTATTCAAAATTTGGACAGAACTTATGGGATGACCTGATAAAAGAACAAGATATCCTTCAACAAAGCCAGTGGAATGAGAACACTCTACTCTTATAGATTAAATAAAGGATTCAGTTCAAATTTCCATGAGGGTTATGCAGATGAACAGACACCAGAAAAAGGGTAGAAGCCACAACAGCTGAAACATTGTGATAACAACAAAGTAATTTGAATGTAAATAAGGACAACTCCTCAACCCAGAAATTCTTACAGAAGGCAATCAGGTGTTAATAATGACAAAAATGAAATATTAGTTTGACGGTAAATAACAGGGTCTGTAATAGCTGGTGGACAGAGAGCCTTGACTCCCTCAAAATTGTAGTATTTTTACGGGGTT